AGAGTTCTTACAGCTGAATTAGGGAAATATGTCGCTTGATGACTATGAAAGGAAGTTTGAACAATTTTCTAGGTATGCTACACGCCTTTTGGACATCGAGACAAAGAAAGCTAGGAGGTTCGTGTCTAGAGATTGGCGAAATCATGGCATCTCACCATACGACTACCTATAGTGAAGTGCTTCAGTGAGCTCAGTCAATTTCTGATCGTCTAAAAATAGATCGGATGACTGAGAAAAATAATAAGTCATATAGAAAATGAAAATGGAATGGATTGAATAAAGGAAAAGGATTTGGACAATTTAAGAAGGTTAATACAGGATCAGGATTAAGCAAATCAAATAAAGTTACTCCACAATGTCCTAAATGCAACAAGGCACATGGAGGAGAGTGTTTGTTTGGGAAAAGTGTCTGCTATCGATGTGGTCAAGAAGACCATTTTACCCCGAACTGCAAGGCATACCCACATAAGAAAAATAATGAACAGGGCAAGAAAGTGAAAGCCAAAGTCTCTGCTTTAACTCGGGAAGAGGCAACAGAGGATCCGAACGTAATGGCAAGTATTCTATCAATATCTAAACTACCTACATATGTTCTTATAGACTTCAGAGCTACTCATTTATTTATCTCCACTGTATTTATTGCTAACTCATGTACTACATGTAAGAAATCTGATAGTGTTCTAGAAATTTCCATCATATCTAGTGGAATTTTGAAAACCAATTAAATCACTAGGGCAGTAAAATTAGAAATGAAAGGAAATGAATTTGTTGCTGATTTACACCTTCTAGATATGAAAGACTTTGACGTTATTCTAGGAATGGACTAGTTGGGGAGCAATCACGCAAGCATTCGATGTTTCGAAAAGAAAGTAATTTTTCAAAAGTCTGGGGAGTAAGAGTTTCGATTTTTCGCTGTACGAGTTAAGTCTTTATCACGACTCGTATCAATCATGAAGGCAGAAAAGACGTTAATGAAAAAATATTGCCAGGAACTTCCAGTGAGTATACATGGAACTCAGCAATCAGAGCTTACTTTTGGTGATGTGCCAATTATACGAGATTTATTGATATATTCCCTGATGACTTACTTAGCGCACCACCTGATAGGCAATTGGAGTTCACAATTGACCTTGTGCCTAGGGCAACTCTAGTTTCTAAAGCTCCATATAGGATGATACTAAAAGAACTACAAGAATTAAAGAGACAGTTGCAGGAATTGTTGGATGAATGTTACATTCGACCAAGTACATCTCTTTGAGGTGCACCGATTTTGTTTGTGAAGGAAAATAATGGATCATTGAGATTGTGCATTGATTATAGAGAATGAAACCGATTGATAATTAAAAACAAATATCCTCTTCCTCGGATTGAAGACCTCTTTAATCAGTTGAAGGGTGCAACAGTAATTACCAAAATTGATTTGAGGTTAGGCTATCATCAGTCAAAAGTGAAGGCAAATGACATTCCAAAGATAGCATTTAGAACTCGCTACGGTTATTATGAGTTCATGGTAATACCGAGTTCATGGTAATACCCATTGGATTAACAAATGCTCCTACAGTATTTATGGATTTGATGAATAGAGTATTCTATCAATATTTGGATCAATTTGTTCTTGTCTTCATTGATAACATCTTAGTGTATTCAAAGAATAAAGATCAACATGAAGAACAACTCAAGATAGTGTTGGAGACACTAGGAAATGAGAAATTGTATGCCAAATTTAAGAAATGCGAATTTTGGCTTGATCGTATAGTTTTCCTTAGTCATGTGGTTATGACACGAGACTGAGTTGACCTTAGTAAAGTTGAAGTGATAACCAGCAGGTCCAGACCAACGAATGTAGGCGAAGTTTGTAATTTCTTGGGACTAGCCGATTATTATCGGTGATTCATTGAGGGATTCTCCAAAATAGCTGGATCGATGACCAAACTAACCAGAAAGGGCGTAAAATTTCAATAGATTGAAAAATGTGAGAAGAGCTTTCAAGAATTGAAATAGAAACTGGCTACAGCTCCAGTTTTAGCTATACCAGAAAGTTCAGATGGATTCGTTGTATACAATGATGCATCCAAACAGGGTTTGAAGTGTGTACTGATGCATCGCATACGCCTCGAGACAATTAAAACAACATGAGCAAAACTACCATACGCATGATCTAGAGTACTTGCTCTAAATATACAGATCATAAGAGGTTGAAATACTTCTTCACTCAAAATGATTTGAATTCATGGCAGAGAAGATGGTTGAAGTTAGTTGAGGATTATAACTGTAATATCCATTACCATGCAAGAAAAGCTAATGTAGTTGTGGATGCTCTTAGTAAGAAGACAATAGGACAACTAGCAGTCTTACTCCAAGTGCAGTTGATAAAGGAGTTTGATAAATTGAAATTGGAAGTTACCATT